AATATGATCAGAACCATAATCTTTTTTGTTTTTTCCACATTTTTAACCCTTAACGGAAAAAAGATTGACAAAAACAATAGGATCTTGTTGTCATTAAGACTTCAGTCTGTCAGTGAAGTGGGAGATAAGTCCATGGAGGAAAAAGGTCCAGTGAGTCATGACCATGGTAGTGCAAGTTCAGGTGATGTCAAGAAAGTCATAGATCTCTATAATCAGGGAAAAGAAGCCATCGAGTACCTCAACCTATATCTTAAAAAGGCTAAAGAAGTAGGAGACAAGCATGGGGAGGGTAACGCTTACAGCAGTCTTGGCAATGCTTATCACCGTCTGGGTGATTTCAAAAAAGCCAAAGAGTACCACAACCTACATCTTAAAATAGCTAAAGAAGTAGGAGACAAGCATGGGGAGGGTAACGCTTATAGCAGTCTTGGCAATGCTTATTTTAGTCTGGGTGATTTCAAAAAAGCTATAGTGTACCACAACCTACATCTTAAATTCGCTAAAGAAGTAGGAGACAAGCGTGGGGAGGGTGTTGCTCATGGCAATCTTGGCAATGCTTATTTTAACCTGAGTGATTTAAAAAAAGCCATTGAGTACCAAAACCTACATCTTAAGATAGCTAAAGAAGTAGGAGACAAGCATGGGGAGGGTGGTGCTAATGGCAATCTTGGGAATGCTTATCACCGTCTGGGTGATGTCAAAAAAGCCATAGAGTACCACAACCTACATCTTAAAATAGCTAAAGAAGTAGGAGACAAGCATGGGGAGGGTAACGCTTATAGCAGTCTTGGCAATGCTTATTTTAGTCTGGGTGATTTCAAAAAAGCTATAGTGTACCACAACCTACATCTTAAATTCGCTAAAGAAGTAGGAGACAAGCGTGGGGAGGGTGTTGCTTATGGCAATCTTGGCAATGCTTATTCTAGTCTGGGTGATTTCAAAAAAGCCATAGAGTACCACAACCTAGATCTTAAAATAGCTAAAGAAGTAGGAGACAAGCATGGGGTGGGTAACGCTTATGGCAATCTTGGCCATACTTATCGCCGTCTGGGTGATTTCAAAAAAGCCATAGAGTACCACAACCTACATCTTAAAATAGCTAAAGAAGTAGGAGACAAGCATGGGGAGGGTAGTGCTTATAGCAATCTTGGCAATGCTTATTTTAGTCTGGGTGATTTCAAAAAAGCCATAGAGTACCACAACCTAGATCTTAAAATAGCTAAAGAAGTAGGAGACAAGCATGGCGAGGGTGGTGCTTATGGCAATCTTGGCAATGCGTATCACCGTCTGGGTGATTTAAAAAAAGCCATAGAGTACCACAACCTACATCTTAAAATAGCTAAAGAAGCAGGAGACAAGCATGGGGAGGGTAGTGCTTATGGCAATCTTGGCAATGCTTATTTTAGTCTGGGTGATTTCAAAAAAGCCAAAGAGTACCACAACCTACATCTTAAAATCGCTAAAGAAGTAGGAGACAAGCATGGGGAGGGTGTTGCTTATGGCAATCTTGGCAATGCTTATTTAAGTCTGGGTGATTTCAAAACAGCCATAGAGTACCACAACTTACATCTTAAAGTAGCTAAAGAAGTAGGAGACAAGCATGGGGAGGGTGGTGCTTATCGCAATCTTGGCAATGCTTCTTATAGTCTGGGTGATTTCAAAAAAGCCATAGAGTACCACAACCTACATCTTAAAATCGCTAAAGAAGTAGGAGACAAGCATGGGGAGGGTAACGCTTATGGCAATCTTGGCAATGCTTATTTTAGTCTGGGTGATTTAAAAAAAGCCATAGAGTACCACAAGGTAATTCTTAAAATCGCTAAAGAAGTAGGAGACAGGCATGGGGAGGGTATTGCTTATGGCAATCTTGGCAAGACTTATAGCCGTCTGGGTGATTTCAAAAAAGCCATAGAGTACCACATCCTTCATCTTAAAATTGCTAAAGAAGTAGGAGACAAGCGTGGGGAGGGTGGTAGTTATGGCAATCTTGGCAATGCTTATTTTGGTCTGGGTGATTTCAAAAAAGCCATTGAGTACCACAACCTAGATCTTAAAATAGCTAAAGAAGTAGAACACAAGCATGGGGAGGGTGTTGCTTATGGCAATCTTGGCAATGCTTATCACCGTCTGGGTGATTTCAAAAAAGGCATAGAGTACCACAACCTACATCTTAAAATCGCTAAAGAAGTAGGAGACAAGCATGAGGAGGGTGGTGCTTATGGTAATCTTGGCAATGCTTATTTAAGTCTGGGTGATTTCAAAAAAGCCATTGAGTACCAAAACCTACATCTTAAAATACCTAAAGAAGTAGGAGACAGGCATGGGGAGGGTGGTGCTTATGGCAATCTTGGGAATGCTTATCACCGTCTGGGTGATGTCAAAAAAGCCATAGAGTACCACAACCTACATCTTAAAATCGCTAAAGAAGTAGGAGACAAGCATGGGGAGGGTGTTGCTTATGGCAATCTTGGCAATGCTTATCACCTTCTGGGTGATTTCAAAAAAGCCATAGAGTACCACAACCTAGATCTTATAATAGCTAAAGAAGTAGGAGACAAATCCTTGGAGGCAATGGCCTACTCTTCATTAGCATTAGTTTTTGAGTTGCAAGGTAGACTGCCAAAAGCCGTTGAACATTATCAAGCTAGCATAAACTTATTAAATTCCTTGAGAGTACTTCTAATATCTAAAGATGAGTGGAAAGTTAATTTTCGA